AATAATAAAAAATTTTTTTTTTAAAAAAAGGACTGGTCACTCCTGGCCACATGCCTAAAGTATGTGAGATGGAGCCTCAAAATCCTTACCTTCAAAGAGAAACTTGGTTTCACTCTCTCCAAGACAGACCTATTTGTTCTCCTGGCAGTCCATGATATGTTCAGTAATGTTCTCCAGCATCACAACTCAAAGGCATTGATTCTTCTGTCACCCTCAGTCATGGTCCAGTTCTCTGATGCATAGCATGTAATTGTGAAGACCATGCACCTTAGTCTCTAGAGTGACACTGTTGCTTCTCAGTACTCTAGAGAGGTCCCTGACAGCCAATTTTCCCAGTGCAATTTGTCTTTTGACTTCCTGACTGCTGGTACCAAAAGTGTTGACTGTGGAGTTGAGCAAGCTGAAATTGTTAACAACTTCAATCTCTTCGCCATCTATCATGATGCCAGTTGGCTCAGTGTTGAGAATATTATACATAAGGAAAAACTATATACGTAATAGAAACTACCAAGTCAAGGTTATTGCCATTGAGTCAGTCAGTTTTCAGAGATTATAAATTCACAGAAGACTGCCCATCCTTTTTTCCATGGAGCAGCTGATAGATTTGAACTCCTAGTCTTTGGATTAGCAGCACAATTTCTCACCCATTACCACCACTACAAAGATCATGCGGATTATCTTCAGAGTGATGGCTTAATGAGTGAGTGACCAATGGGCTTGCTCAAGTTAGATTGTGAGGATGCACAGGATAGGGCAGGGTTCAGATCTGTTTTTCTTAGTGTCACCGTGGTTCAAACCCAACTTGAAGGCACCTAACAACAACAACAGATAATCCGGTGGCCCAAGTAGGGAAGGAGTTGCACTAGCATGCCAAAGGCCACGTCCCTCTGGTAGTTCAAATGACCAGCGATTTTAGAGGTCAGAAATCTAATAGCTACGGGCCAGTTTGGTTTGGACTGCAGAGAATGAGAGCAAAACTAAAGGAAATTGGTATGAATGCACCGGTGTTCTTGAAAGAAAGGTCTGGAAAACTGCTTGGATAAAAACTGTTGCAACCCATAGAGACGCTATGTACAAGAGCGCTGAACCAAGAAAACCCAAGAATGAGTTCTATTTTATTATTGCATCCTGATTAAGTCCCAGCAGACTGTAAAAATAACAAAGCCTAGTGGCAAGAAGAGGCGCTGCAATCCTGAAGGCAAGTGGTTCGAGGCTCCTCCCATGCAATTAACTGCCTTTGAAAACTCCGCAGGTCGGGTTCCAGCTCTAAGGTACACAATAACAACAACAAACGTAAAATCAGTAATATTTTACATATTGCTCAAAAGAATAATTATTAAAAAATCTGTTAGTCAAAACACAAGAAATGGGTAATTTAATATGCTTTCACTGTTAATATTTTCTCAGTGAAAAACCGTTAAGGGTTTTTTCCCCCCTCATAAATTATCTTTTAGAGCCTCAAGTGTATAAATCTATCATTACTCTGATGAACGGACCTTGATTACGAGGCAGGTTTTTCTAATGAAGAGATAAAGTGAAATAACTTATTCTTCTGCTGTTAAAGAAAACTAAGGCTTGTTGGGTTTCAGCCTTTTAGTGAGATGCTCAGCTTCCCCCAGGAGCTCAATAAATATTAATTGGACTAATTAAACACACAGTGCTTAAATAAAACCACAGGAGAGACGCAGGCGGCTCAAGGGCGGGGAGATGTATTTTTTTTAAAAAAATAGCTCAAAATCTGTACGGTTCTAGACAGCTGAGATTTTTTTTTTTTTTAAGCAGAAAGGCTTCACTGGAGTTTCCCGCCTCTCAGTGGACCTCCTCGAACTCTCTAGGTCACTACACAGCGCGCCCGCACGGTCGCCGGCG